AGCCCAGGAGAGGAGCAGTGACGGTTCAATACAGTTCTCAGGGTACTCAGGAAATGCATGGTGAAGAATGATTAAGAATTAGAAAACAAGCAAGAAGGTTAAGGATGCTTCCAGCAGAGGAAACAGTAAAACTGGAAGAAGTGAATTAGTGTGGGTGGGTGAACTGGGCATACAGAGTGGTGAAACTCTTAGAGGGGCTTCTAAATAGAGCAGCTGGGGGGCACTGTAGGTCCTGTCAAGGAATTTGTATGTATTTCACTTGCTGGGGAAATATTGGTGAGTTTTAATAGGAGAAGATGCTATCAAATGTATAGGTTTGTTACATCCTCAAGTCTACTGGAGAAGACTGGACACAGGGAAAGCAATTTAGAAGCTGTGCTGGTAATCCAGATGCAAAATTGATGGAGCTATGAAGTGGACATAAGGGAGGGGATGTCTACAATGGAGGTGATGTTCTCATTCAGAAAAGCAGGCTCAAGGCAGTTAGCAGTGGTCATGTGGAAGTGTCTTTTAGAGGGCCACCTGAGGCAGCCCCCCAGGGCAACAACACAAAGCTGAGAGGAAGCAAATAGGCACACATACTTGGTATTCAGGACAGTGTATTTGAAGAAAACAGCGCTGTGCCATTGAATCTGAATACTATGTGTGATTTCTAAGCCAATCTCTTCCTGTCTTCTAGTGTTCCCATCTCTTTCATTTGTCCAGAATTTCCGTATGTGTATCTGGACACTCCCTCGAAAATAGGCAGAAGACTAAGTTGTTCTCATGAGAGACTCTAACAAGATTTTGTCAATCTTACCGATAAAGGGAAATTGACTAGGTTTCTCAAGTCAACTTTCCCCCCAATAGGGGCAAATGTGTTGTCAGTTCCTGTGCTCACAAATCATGACTTCAACAGATTCACAGAAACAGTATTTTGGTAGGCTAGAATGTGCACAGTTATTTCTTTCAATCCTTATTGCAGTATATGCTATTGTTACTGATACCTCTCCTGTTCACTCTTCGGGGTTGATCAGGTGACTTACCCTCCATCATGCTCCCCCCTGACCCTGCCCTATTTTCCCCTTTTTGTTTTTTTGAATGTTAGATTCTTAGCAGTATTAAAACATCCTTTATTTGTGGATTTGACTCATTTAAAAGTTCCAGAGAAAAATAATTTTCCCCAAACATACACTGACTTACTGAAGCCCCGAGGCTATGGGGAAAGTGCCCCAATCCTTATTTCTGAAAGGTATGTTCCGATTGGTCTGACCCAGCTGTAACAACCACCTTCTCTTTAAAAAGGATTGGTTAAGAATGCTTATGGGGCTCATCATTTAGAGTTCTGACTGCTCTTCCAGAGTACCTGGGTTCAATTCCCAGCACCCACATGGCAGCTTACAACTGTCTATAACTTGAGAATTCAACCCTCACACAGACATACTACATACAGGCAAAACACCAATAAAGTAAAAGTCAATAATTTTTAAAAATGCTTGCGTGAACTAGTTCTAAATAAAGGCAATCTGATGGGGAGTGTTTGGGTGGATTTCCTTGCTGTTAAAGCGGTAATAATTTTTACACTTCTGAGCATAGTTGCTCTGGATGGCAGGGGGTGGGGAGTGGTGATATTCAGCTTGATAGTCATCAGTACTGCTTACCGGGTGTCTCTGCTCTGCCCTTCAGGCATATAGTGGAATTGCAACCCATGGGCTTCCTGTAAAAAGCAGGTGTCCTGCTTGGTTTTTTGTTTTTGTTTTTTTGTTTTTTTGTTTTTTTTTTGGTAATGACACAAGCTAGAGTCATCTAGAGGGAACCACACTGAGCAAAGCCTATGGAGCATTTTATTAATTAGTAATTGACCTGGAAGGCCCAGCCCATGGTGGGTGGTGCCACCCTGGGCAGACAGTCCTGGGGTGTCTGAGAAAGCAGACTGTGCAACAAGTGAGGAACGAGCCTGTGAGCAGCAGCCTCCCGCCCATGACCTCTGCTCCAGTTTCTGCCCTGACTTCCTTTGATGATGCACTGTGATGTGGAAGTGTAAGATAAAATAAACCCTTTCCTCCCCAAGTTGCTTTTAGACATGGTATGTTTTTCATAGCAATAGAAGCCCTAACTGAAGAAAGGGAGATAAGTGGACAAGTGGTGTTCATTCAGTGAGTTGTGAGCAGAAATTGTGTGTGGTGTTTCAGAAGCATCCAATTGTGGTGGCATCCCCATCCCACACTTCTTGTTTCCTTCTGAGGCTGGGATAAGGAAGCTTCACTGTGAGAATGGTCTTGGTACCCAGGGTTGGCGCCCACAGTCTGGCCACATATATCAACATAAGGCCCGAGAAAGCCAAAAAAAAAAAAAAAAGGTCTGACCAAGCAGTTTCCTGGTGCTGCATCCTGGCTATCGAAGTCTCAGGTAGGCTGGGGGTACAGACATGGCTCTTTTAAGAGGACCTGCTGTGCAACTGAGCACTTGAGCAGGTGGCACTGGGCACAACTGCCTGCCACAGGCAGACACAACATTCCCAGAGCTGGAGCAGGTAAATGTGGCTCTGGGGTCAGTACCTGCCTGCATGGGGTTAGGCTCTGACAGAACCAAGTGGGGTGGAGCCAGTTGCTAGCATGCCATGTGATAAGCGGCTCCCTGTAGCAATAGTCCAGCAGTTTAAGTTTGACTCATGTGGTCAGAGGAGGCTGCAGACATGCAGGAAGTCAGATCCCGACCAAGAAAACCTCTGAACAGCTATAATACGTTTTAAAATGTGCTTTGATACTGCAGAAAGAAAAGAAAATGGGTATAGACAGTCCTAGAAAAAATAAATAGTTTAAAAATAATAAAGTAAAATCTTTAAGGACAGAATAAAGTAATATAAAAAGAAAAAAGCCATGTAAAGGTGGGAAATACATAGGACATGTGGATCTTGTATGGTGTTTTGCTGACTTTGAATTTCTTGGATGCTGATGAGCAAATGGCAGCTGCTGAGAGACATTGGATTATGGGATGAACTGCTGAATTAAATCAGCCTATATAAGCCGGGCGGTGGTGGCACACACCTTTAATTCCAGCACTCGGGAGGCAGAGGCAGGCGGATCTCTGTGAGTTAGAGGCCAGCCTGGGAAGGCACAAAGCTACACGGAGAAACCCTGTCTCAAAAAACCAAAATAAATAAATAAATAAATCAGCCTATCTACTTTAGAAATTTCTTGGCTTTGAAATGGAAGCTGGGAAATGTGTTGTATTGGGAGGGATGTTATGTTTTTGTTATGGTTCTCTTCAAAATTAATAAAGATCAGATTTGATCGGGGGAGACCTCTTGAAAATCTTGGCTACAGACATGAAAAATGAAACCCCAAAAGACTATAGGACAGGTGACATATATGCTGATCCCTCTACTATGGGAACAGATTTGAGACTGGATGGGACATGATAGTTGGCTACAGAGTCCTTATGACTTATTCTTTCATATGGTATAGATAGAGGTTTGGTTATACAGTCCAAACAAACTTATAAAGTTAACATATGCCTTTTCCCTGCTCAAACATAAAACAAAAAAAAACATCTTTAACTGACTTGTGCACACTGTACATTCCATACTTGTGTTAATGCAGATATATATGTTACTTTTAAAAGTTTGTGTGCTTTCAGGGAAAAAAAAGGACCAGACATCAATAAAGACAAGTAGCCCTGGTGGTCCAGACCCTCAGATTGCCTCTGTTGGAGTTATCTCAAAATTCCATATCCAGAACAACTTCAAAGCTGCTAGCTGAGATGGTCCAGCCTCACAGACTATCCAGTCAAGACTTCAGGTAAGCTCTATATTTTCTCATCGCACAGAGACTAAACAAAAAATAATACAGTTAGCTCTCTAAGGACTTGACCATTATCCCAATTTTCTCAGGGTCCTCTAAAGAAGCCATCACCCCTGTGGGAGCCCGTTCTGGGGTTCCTCGTGGCTTTACCCAGCAGGTCCGAATAGAGGATGATCAGGACCACGGGCCTGAGTGCAGGTGTCTGAGATGGTCTGCACTTGGCTGTGCTGGGGGAGGAGGTCTTTTGCTCCACCCCTTGGCATCTCTATAAAAACCCTGGACCAGAGACAGTCCGGGCCCGTTGGAATAGGTTCCAGGCCCTCTCGAGGCTATCCTTTATTTTCTATCTGTTTATCTCCGCAACATTCTCCGCTATAAATCCTTCTATCTAATATTTCCTGCTGATCGCACTCAAGAAAACTCTGGGAAGCTGTGGGGGTGGTGGGTAAACGCCCCACACACCCCTAGACAACAGGAAGCAGTCTAAAAAACATGATGTCCACATTCCCAAGAGGTAGGGTAGGTGGTTTTTGCTCATTTGGTGTGTTATGGAAGTTTGTCGTCATTTAGGGGGATTGGTTACAAGTTGTTATTAGTAATGATCAAGAAAAAAAGCTGAAAAAGGAGATTAGATTCAAGGATCTCTTTCTGACAGGAAAAAGGAGGGATATAATATAGAAATGATGGGATAAAAGGGTAAATTATTGAATCTACTTTTAAATTAAAAAATCTATCATTCTTAAATATTATAATTGATATATGATTTTTATATATTACAAATTTAAGGTTATTTTTGTTATACTGTACATATGTTTAACTTATTATACCTATACAGCTCATTTAAAAATGTAATGTAAAGTTCTAGTCCTTGAAAGCTATTTAGGATAATAAAGAAATACAGGTTAGAAGTTAGTCATTGATAACAATCAAACTTATAGTCATGCTAGATATGTTTCCAAGGTCAAACAGAAATCTATTTTAAATAGATAGATAGTCTTAAAATACTTTAAAGGCTTAAAGAATGTGGCATTTAAAATGTTTTACTAACATAAGGCTTTTCATGACAGTAAGACATATCTGCTCCTGGGAGCACCAATTTACTTCAAAAAAGGATGATGAGCATCAAAGAACCTCCATATGGAATTTGCTGTCAATGTAGCAAAGCTAGCCATTTGGGCAAGAAACTGCAATTGCCTCAACTGCTGACAGTATGCTGTCCAAACTGGACAAGCAGGACACAAAAGAAAGCAACTGCTGAACATTGCAAAGACAAGGTAGGACAGTCCTTCAAATTTCCTGCTTCACAGAAAAGTCTGTCAGATTTCTAGGCCTGTAGGCCAAAGATGGATGCTCCAACATTATAGTGGAACCTTGGGTGACTGGTCAGGCAGCCAGATGTCTCTGTCATTTCTATAGTTTTGGAAGTTGTTTGCTCTACACTTTCTGTTTACTTGGGTAATATTATATCCTTCTCAAGTCTCTGATGAGATTAAAGACTAGATAGTTATAGTTTTATAGTTTTCCTTGTTACCAAATTCAAAAAAGAAACTTACATAAGAGATGTAACGTTTATAAGGCTGAGAAAAATGAAAGCTTATGTTGTTTATCTAAGAAGATGTTTTAAGGTCTAAAAGGGTATTTTTAGAATGGTAATAAAAGTTATAATAAAAAGTGGTTTATGTCTAAAACTTTGGACTCATCAAAATAAAATAGATAATAGAATAATTTCTCTAAATTTGACAAATTCAAATGGACAGACCATTGTGAGTATATTTCTTACTTGATAATTGTTTTTAGTGTATATAACTTTACTGTATTAGCATTAAAACCTTTCTTTTTTATTTAGACAAAAAAGTGGAAATGTTGTGAGATATTTGTTCACTGTTGAAACTGTATTGCTGTGATTGTTGTAATAATAAGCTGAACAGCCAATAGCTAGGCAGGAGGTATAGCAGGATTTCCTGGGAGAGAAAGGAAAAGGAAGAGGAATCTAGGCATGCAGGAGAAGACAGAAGACACAGAGAGAAAACAGAAGGTGCAAGATGGAAGAGAGATAATGCCATGTGATAGAATGTAGATTAATAGAAACAATTCAATTAAGTTATAAGAGTTAAGCTTTGATGGGTAGTGGTGGCGGCGGCGGCGCATGCTTTTAATCCCAGCACTCGGGAGGCAGAAGCAGATGGATCTTTGTGAGTTCGAGGCCAGCCTGGGCTACAGAGTGAGTTCCAGGAAAGGCTCCAAAGCTGCATAGAAAAACCCTGTCTTGAAAAAAAAAAAAAAAAAGAGCTAAGCCTTATCCTATACATTGACACAGTCTAAGCTAAAGGTCAAGCTTTTATAATTAGTAAGAAGTCTCCATGTTGTTACTTGGGGAAGGTGGTAGAAAAGAAAGTTGATCTACACAGGGTCCTTTACTGACCTCAGCAGAAAAAGCATGAAAGATAAAATACATCGGTTTGTTTTTTAAAAGCCTCTAGAATTAAAATCTGTCAACTTAGGACATCCTAATTCACCCTGGGAAGGTGATAGATGGAGGAATGGAGCTACCCACAGACTTATGCCCAGAGCCCTCTCAACTCTGGTCTACTAGCAATGTGAGGTGAATTCTGCCCCCCTCAAGCCTATTTGAATATGGACATCCTTTTAAATGTAGCCAATAGTATTTCTAATACATGAATTTCATCTTGTCATTTTTTTTTTTACTTTTTTTTTTGAGACAATATTTCTCTGTGTAAGAGCTCCAGCTGTCCAGGAACTTGCTTTGTAGACCAGGCTGACCTTGAACACATAGAGATCCACCTGCCTCTGCCTCCTGAGTACTGGGATTAAAGGCATGTGTCACCATGCCCAGCTACATTTTGCCATTCTTTATTTTGATTTTGTCTAGGGTTTTGAATTAGCTATGCAACTTTGTACTGATGTATCAGTCTTATGAATTTCAGTTTTCACCTTTATGAAAGGAGGGGGACTATGTCCAAGAAGACATACCATCTTTCCTCACTATAAACTTTACCATGGCCTCTAAGCATGACCTTGGTCCATGAGCCCAGTGTGATCTGGTCCTCAGCTGATCTAAGCCTGTTTCCTTTTAGTCTGTCTTGACTTCTTCTAGCCACACTGGTACACTTCTTCTCCCTGAGAGCCTTTGTAGTAGCTTCGTTCTCTGCCCACATCCCCTTCTTGCAGACATGTGCAGGATTCTTTCTCCCACCCTGTGGGCTCTGCTTAAGTATGATAACTGGAAATGGTGCAGTACCCATACACAGCACAGTTCTCCCATTGTGTTTGGATTTGCACCTCCTCCTGATACGTTTTTCCATCACAGCATTTATCACCATCTGATAGACTTTAGACAATCCTGTTCTCTCCTTCCAGCTACAACACTGGCTCTTGACTCAGCTTTGTTGATTCCTGTATTCTAGATGCCTACATCCATGATAGAGGTCCAGTAGTCTAAGATGGACACAGAAGGAGTCTTCCCCTTCAGCTGTCAGCTCCTCTGGGGTCAACCCCTCTGAGAACATGCCAGCTTCCCCAAGAAACCCATATCTAGTGGCAGATTACAGTGGGGGTACCAATGTGTAGCCATTACAGCACCAAACAAACCCTCTGGGTGAGCTTGTCTTGTCTGAAGTTCCAGAGTACCCTGGAACCAAGGTTTTACTGAGTCTATATCACATCTGTCCAATCCTGTTTTCTCCCCCATTTTCATCAGTGTTGTTCTTCTAGAAAAGTCCGCATGCCAAATTTTGTCTCCATGTCTACTTCGGAAGCTCTGATCCTGTGCCATGGGCACTCAGAAATTCACATGGAATGGATGTTTCTGAGTCCCCCATTTCTCTCAGTGCCATTCTTGTTAGCAATTGCATAGCTTTTATTCTATCTTCTACAGTAACAAGTTTGAAACTATTTCCTAAGGCCACCAGTTCCAATGTTAAATAGTCTAACAGTCAGAAAATTAGAGTACATTAGCTTTTGTTAATGCTGCTGATAGGTAAATCAATTTATTCATTCACACCAAGCTTATAGTTTAGAGTGGCCTTCATGTTAGGATGACATTTTTGCATTCATGCAAAACACTGCATACACACTTTAGCTCATTTGGAAAAAATTCAAGCCTATTACTCCAGAACTGTGTGCATTTAGGGAACTTCTTGTGCAGTATGATGTTTCAGGATATCATTGTCCCTTGCTTTTATTGGGGGTGGGGGGCTTGCTTTCCTCCACTTTCATTCCAAGGGATCTGAATGGGCCACACAGGACCTACACTGCAGCAAAACACATGTTAGTCAGCTTGTATACTCAGGGTGATTTGGTGACAGAAACCCACCCAGTGAGATGAGTGACAGAACTCATATGAGCAGGGCAGGAAAAAACCTCACTCTTCCCTCTGGATTGTCCTGTGGCTACTGGTGTCCTCACAGGAAGCCCAAGAAAAGAGATGGTCTTGGGACAGGCTGAGATGCAGAGAAACATGATCCTGTTAGCACCATTTGAGTCTTGGGTATAGCATCATCTTAAGTCTGCCTACAACTCTAAGAGAGTATGGTAGAAGAGACATTGTGTCAGTTCTCCCTCTCTCCCTGGAGAGGCCTATGACAGCTACTTCTGCATTTTTTGGAATCTAGTATCCTGTAAGAAACATGGGTTACCTAGACTATTGAATGACAAGAGATCACATGAAAAGAAATCCTAGAATTCCAGAAAATGACTTGAATATTTCATTTCCAGCCAAACTCCCAAAGGAATATAGCCCTGGACTGAGACAAAGTAAAGCCAAAACAACCAACCAGCCCAGGCCCAGCCAAAAAGTAAGAGATCACAGGAATTCCAGGTGTTTTAAGCCATTTGGTGTTGTGGTGGCTTATCACAACATAATAACCAGCTAAATCAAACTCAAGAGTTCAGACTCAAGGTAGAAATGGGTTAGAAGTAACTTCTGGCCACAAAGATACCTGACATCATGTTTGCCAGCCACTACTTTATTTCCCTAGGCTAAATAACAGAGTACCACAAATTGAGAGAGGTTTAAATAACTGAGCAGTGGCCGAGTGGTGGTGTCACACACCTTTAATTCCAGCACTTGGGAGGCAAAGGCAGGCAAATCTCTGAGTTGGAGGCCAGCCTGGCCTACAGAGTGAGTTCCAGGAGAGGCACCAAAATTACACAGAGAAACCCTGTCTTGGGAAAACAAAACAAAGCAAATAAACAAACAAAAACTGAAATGTGTTTGTTCATGGTTCAAGGGGTTGGCAGCTTCTGAGGGCAGTGAACACAGGATCTACCCAGGTCTTTGTCCTTGGCCAAGCCTGTTGATGGCTGGCTTCTTGTTCATATGGTCCTCTTTCTACTTAAGTGTCTGTCTCCAAATTCCCCTTTTATTATTTTTTTTAAGGAACCTAGATACCAATTTAGGTCAATCCAGAAATGGTTATCCTTTCCGTGCCCTGTCCAGGTCTACACACCTGTCCTGGTAAGATGCAGGAGATTCTGAAACAGAATCCTAGCACCAGGTTGACCCTGGTTTTGTTCAACTAGCAAATGGAGCAACAGAAAGTTTATGGTACATGCTTATGACTCAAACCATGCATGGCATTGCAGAGTCAGATGAGCACTCGAGAATTCACAACCAGACATGTGAAAGCAAGGATGATCTCAAATTATCCTTATGGCTTGTCTGGCAAGGATTTAACTCATCTCTGTGTTCATTATGTATGTTTTTCATTTATTCAGTCATTAGGTAAATATTTAACCACTCACTGCTATGTACTAGTCACTAGATAGACCCTGAAAAACACACAGAAATAGATTATACTTTCTGATCTACAATCTGGTACCCACCTTCATGAAGCTACCCTCATTTCAGAGGCTGGGAGAAAGAAGAGCCTCTGTGAGAGCATATTAGAAATGTCTTTCCTCCTGGATGAATGCCCAATAACTCCATAGAACATGGACTTTCTCCATTAGATCACCATCTACACGATGAGAAAAATGCCTTTGAAGATTCAAACCACCTTGCGAGATGTCCTAGGAACATAACTGAATGGTCTAATACATGGGTTGCCAATTCGCTCAATGCCTTAGCAGCTTGTGGAGGGATGCCCCCATCAAGGGTGCTGCTTTGCTGTTGGTACAATCCGGAATCATCCATTGTCATTTTCTTCAGGTTGGAAGCAATGATACTAAAATACTTAAAGTCCTGCTAGTTAGAATTGATACACATCTTAAGAGTAAGATGTGATTATAGCATCCAACAAATACAAGTTTTGTGTTTTCTTCACACACACACACACACACACACACACACACACACTACATAGAGGAGTATTGTATCTGCACATATATTTTGGGTCATAAGACAGCTCATTTTAACTTGTAGTTCCTGGGTGAGTTTTTACTGAGTTATTTTCAACACACATTTACCTGGGTCTGTGGAATATGATTTTTCTACATAATATTTCTGTTCACCCCTGTTCCATACTAGAACTCCCGCTTCCTGTGCCCACAGCAGACATCACTAATCAATTATGGAATCCCTTCCTGCTGAGACCAGTTATAGCCTCAGAAAAACCTTCCAACATACAGAGCTCCAAATAACCAGCAGGCATTAACTACAGTTGGGACTAGCACACCAAATTAATCCTATTTGCCTAACAGCTCAGTGAGAGATAGCAGTCAGAATAGTTCAAGCATGACTCTATTATTTTATGGAGACACGGATTTCAGAATGTGTTTCTAACTATGCAGCATTATTGCCCCAAACCGAAGCACTTATAAGATGAAGGGGATAAGCCTCCAAGGGCCACACACCAACATGGACTAAAAGATGCCACTGCTCTTCAGCTCAAGGAGATTCACACTCGCATTGGCACTTCCTGAGAAGGGTAGTTAAAAAAAGAGTGTGTCAAATGAATGCTGGGAAAAAACTCCATGCCACCACCCCCTTATACGCCTGTGTAGATTCTGTGCCTCGCTGTCACACTTGCCCTCTGGTTGGGATTCATTGATACTTTATTCAAAACCACCATGAATTAATCTACCAAAATATATTCCTTCATAAAAAATAAGAGTCCTGTTCTAAGTGCATTATACATAAATGAGATATTTTCTTGGTCCAGGATTCACACCAATCATGTCCCACCTCTAGAATGGGCAATTTATGTCTCTGGTCATTCAGCTCACCTTGAGCTCCATTTCTGATAATGTGAAAGATATCATACAAAGTAGTATTTTTAGTGGAAAAAGTGCACATGATTTTTTTTTTTAAAATTGCTTTAATGTCCTTTGAAGAGAAAAAAAATGAGCTTGTAATTAGATCTCACCCACTGATCTCAGCCTATTGACTAGGCACAAACTTGCCATTAATATAGTCAAATGAATCAACAGCAATTCCCAATTCCCTGTCAGGAAGTAGGCACTAGTTCACTGGACCATCTGTTGGTTCAGTGCCAGGAAAGGGTGAATCACTCAATAGGCAAGTACCATCATTAAAAGAACGGAGGTCATTGGGCTGAAAAGGACCAATTTTTGTTATTGTTACCTGGCATCAGATTTCAAAATTGCTAATTGGATCCTGGAATTATTTCAGTGGACAGATGTCTAGTCTGACATTCGAGGCCCTGATCAAAACACTGAATAATAGCATCATGGTGTTGAGGCAGGTTTTGTAAGAACCAGGTGCCAATTAAAAGAGGGATGTCTCATGCAAGGATGCTTGTCTGGGGAACGGAAAGATGACCTAAGGATCTTTTAAAAAATTTTTTTGAAGGTCTGTCTTACTTATTTTTACAAGTCCAAGCCCATTTTACAGTCCTGTTCATTTTCCAGCCCCTGCTACAACTCTATTGCCTGCAGACATGTCTTTGGGACTGCAGATGAACTTCCTACAAATCCTCTACCAGGAAGATTCACCTACTAGCAAAAATACCAAGGGCTGGAAGAGAAGGCTGGGGCCATATTGGTGTGGCAACAGAGATAGCAACAGGCTTGTAGAAAGTCATGGATCGCAGTGCGAGACTGAGCCTGGGATAATCCTGAGACATGGAATACTGGAACCGTGCTCAGTCCACTTAGCATGGGCAAAAGTCAGGGAAAGCACTTGTGGAAAATGAAGCTGAAGACTCATTTGGAAGCAGGCAGTCAGCCCAGACAGTTTACACTGAAGAAAGAGGTCCAAGAAGGGCAGTGAATTAAACCCAGCAGACAGGAAGACCTCAGAACAGGAAAGATGATTCAATGTCCATCCATCTAGCAGCTGGGCATAGGGACAGCCACAAGATCTGACAGATAGGGCAAGGCACTGTCGTTGGGTCGAGTTACAGCAACAATGACCCTGGCTATGAAATAAATGCCTTGCAGACTCTCAGCACAGAAGATACAAGTTTGCAAGCCGTGGATTCTCTGCTTCTTGCAGGTAGAAATAACTGGAGGTGCAGCTGCGGTACTGAACAAATCCAGGTGTTGAGGAAATCTGGCCCAAATGACCTCTGCTGGCCGGTTGGGCTAGCCATACATACATACATTTCTATACATCATTTCCACCCCGAACCTACCTGAAGGTCTCCCACCCACCCAAGAGGATGCCACAAATACCTATGACATGCTGCTTGTGTAGTGCCATGATTGGAAACCCCTAGTTGACTATCATTGATTTTTGTCATTAACCTCTTCATCCCTCCCCCTTTTTTTTTGACGGCTTCTCAATTTTTTTTCCTCTCCACATTTTTCCAATTTTTATATATTCCCTCTGGATGTTTTAAAGACAATTTCAGGATATACAAATTCTTCTAAGGAAAACTAAAGAAAAGAAAGTTGGTAAAGGAATAACAGACGTGGTCTTAACCTAGGGCCGGTGGTAAAACAGCGAGACTGCATTGTGCAAGTGTCCATGTTTAGGAGCTGTTTCTCCAGCCAGCCGATGAACTCAAACCCTCATCCAAGAGTAGCTATGTATTTACACACTGATGATTAGTGTTGTCAGCTTGACAATCTAGAATCACCTGGGAGAGGGGCCTTTAAATATATCTGTGAGGTTATCTTGATTGCCTTAGTTCATGTGGAAAGGCCACTCACTACGGGTGGGACTGTTCCACAGTTGAGATAAGCGGCACGTATTCAGCACTCTGCTTCCTGACTGTGGATGCAATGTGGCTACCTAATTCTGCTGCCATACCTTTCTCTCCATGGTGGACTGCAAACCAAAATAAATCCTTCCTTCTTTGAGTTGCTTAATGCAGGGTACACACACCCACAGAGATAAAAACAGAGACACAGAGACAGAGATGACAGAGACAGAGAGTGAACACAGAACTCTTCAGAAATAGAATCAGATCTGCATTCCTCAAAGCTACTGTCTAGTAGCTTGGTGACTACTCTGGAACACTCTGTGGCTCGGTTTCCTTTGCTGTGAATGGAGAGCTTGCTATGGTTTGAATATAAATTGTCATTCACAGGCTCATGTGTTTGAAGACTTGGTTCCCAGGTGGTGGCAGTGTTTTGGAAGGTTGTAGAACCTACCAGGTGTGACCTAGCTAACAGAAGTATGTTGTTGGGGGGTGGACTTTGAAGGTGATATTCACTTCTTCCAGTGTAAAGGCTTTGCTTTCGTATCTGCCATGGGCCCCCACAGCTATCAACCCATTGTGCCTTCCTCACTATGATGGGCTAAAACTGTGAGCTAAAACAAATCTTAACTAACACAGAGAGGTACTGAGCTGTACAGAAGCTCTGGCTTGCACACATCAAATGGTATCCTGAATGTGAAATCAAGCTGGAAATTCAAAAGTCCAATAAAAGTGCTAGCTTTTTCTTACACTCTCAAATCTCTCAATTCCATCAAAGCAGAAGGGCAGGGCCAAAAGTCAAACCAAACCAGTCTGTCAGTGAGGGACATGCAGTTTTAGAAACACAGTACACATCCTCCATGACATTAAAATCTCACCCAGTTCCTCATTAGCTTTGTGTACAAGTAGAGAGGGGACAGAAGCAATGTGGCAGTTATCCACATTATTAAATTAATTATCCTGATATTTGGACAAATGCAATTATAAAGCCTTGCTTCTCCGTTCCTATCTGGACACACCCCTCTCTTCTGGTGTGTAAACATCACCAAGAGCACAGGCCCTGTGCAAACAAGCTGCCCTGTGGAGAACAACTGTTCTAAGAGGTTCCTGCAATTATCCTTGCATGGCGTTGATTTTGTTACCAACCCTCCTGAGAGCCAGCTCCGAGGAAGGAAGGAATAGTTCAAGATTTTCACTTCAACTGATAACAGTTGTGACCCCAGTAGAGCCCCACCAAATGATGCTGGAACCTAAGACCCAAGTGATCTGAGCTAGCAAATTAAACAATAAGCCCAAGGAACCAGGCCCCACTTTATTACCAAGAGAGTAACACCTTTTAATTGGTTAACACAACAAAGAGAGAGGTGGCAGCTTTGGGAAGCCAGCTTCAGGTCTGCTCACCCATTAGGCCGGTTTGAGAAAACAGAACCCTTTCCTCCCTTAATTTGGAAGCTGTGATTTTGATTAGGAAACAAGGGGTCACAGAGGACCACGCTAGAGACAGCAAGCGAAACAGAAGGTGGCTGCCAGCTGCTGAGAACTGAATTTGTTAGGACATCCTCTTAAAGGTATGTGTAATTGAGTGAAAAGAACTTCATCAGTTTAAGGTTAGAAGGAATTCATTCTTATGGAAAGCCAAGGAAAGACAGAACCCCATTTCCTAGGATTCATGTGAAAGACCTGGGTTTTTTGGAGACTTTAAGTTTGAATAATGCATATGTCAACTTCATGGATCCATCCCCAAATTTGCTTCCTTGGCTCAATTACTTCACTCTGTCAATAAGGCTATACAAATGAATTAGACAGCTGAGGACACTGCTCTTACTTCTAAACGAGACCACTTGAAACGACAAGTGTTGCAGCATCGAATTTTAAAATAGTGGCTGTGACCATTCTAACATTTTACAGAGAAAAGGGTAGCTGTGAATTCTTGGGCCCTGATAAGCCTTGCCAAGGGTTTTTTTTTTTTTTTTTTTTTTTTTTTTTTTTTTTTTTTTTTTGCAACCCCAATCCAATTTCACATGGTAGTTGTTGTTCATAGGGGCAAGAACCAAAAGTAACACATCAACTGCGGTCCACACTTCATTCTGATATATTAGATTCTCCCCAATGCCTCCTTTCCGCTTCGAATTTCCACCCAGACTCCCATGTTTTGTTTAGCTGTTGTAGCACAGGTCCCCCTGGAGCGGTGGTTCTCAACCTTCCTAATGCTGCAACCCCTTAATACAGTTCCTCATGTTGTGGTGACCCCACAATCATAAAATTATTTCATTGTGACTTCACAATGTTATGAACAGTAATGTAAATATCTGATATGTGATCCCTGTAGAAGGGGCATTGGACTTCCAAAGGTGTCGAGACCCATAGGTTGAGAACCAAATCACTGCTCTAGAGTCTAGATTGACAAGAAATCTTAATAGGTTTGAAGAGCAGTGCTGTTCTGGTGTTTTCTAAAAGATTCTACAATTTGGGTTTGTTTGGCAGTTTTTCTCGTAGACTCGGATTCCAGAGTTGGAGAGGATGACCACCACTGATACCACTTATACAAAGGATACAGGCTATTAAATGTGGTGCTGATCCTGACCAGTCCCAGCTAGACAGTATTGTTAACAGTTTTCTCCACTGTGATTAGCCATTTTCTCTCCTTCACGCTGTACTCTTTGGAAGTCACTGTGTGTGTCCCACGCAAAATGAGTGGGGATGTATCTCCATAAATTATCTGAAGGATTTCACACTTTGTTTCTTCTTGTCTACTTATTTACATGTTTGATCATTCATCTACAGCAGAATAGACTCATGGATATTTATACTTAGGGTTGTTTAATATTGCATTATTCATTTTCTTCTTCAAATTCTTGCAGCTTTGTCCATTGAGTGCTCCATTAGCTGACTTGTGTGTCAATTAGACATATCCATCTAGGTTCTTAAATTCCTATCTTGATTGCTTTTGGAGCATTTTGTTCCTCCCCTAAACCAAAAGACCTTTCAGGTTCTCTTGTGTGTTTCACAAAGCAGTCCTGGACTTGGTCTTTTTCTCAGAGTCCTCCTGATTCTCTTGGTTGGAGAATGGCCATATTTGTCTTAATGGTCTTTACTACAGTCTTCCAATCCCTCCATGTCATATTAGGATCACAGTTATTTCTCCATGATTCTTTGGTAATCCCTGGAGTACCTTCAAAGACAGATGCCCAGAAGATGGATGCACTGGAGCCCCCTTCTTTCACATCTCTTACTTCTCTGCTCCTACTAACGTTGACACACTTCCCTCTCCCTGCACCAACAACAAGAGCCAATGGTAAATTAAAAAGAAAAGCATACAGTGGCTCTTAAGAGAAGTGAGCTCAAACTATCTCGAGTGACATATTATTTTTTTAATTAATGCTGCTCCCATTTTCTCACTTTCCCAGACACATTAATGCAACAAGAATCGTGTTGGCATCTGCGGAAGCAAATAGAGAGAACAGCAGTCTAAAGGGAGGGGATGAGCGCCCCCACTCCCGGTCTGAGTACACTCTGGGGCAGTTCACAATACCACAATACCCATGCAGAATGCCGGTGAGCAGTGTGGAAGTCTAGTTGGAGTTCCAACTGCTGTGGGAACGCATTTCCTCCATGACTGGCTGTGTTTCTTGTTTCCCACTATTCTAGGAGCCTTTGAGGAAGACTCTGCAAGTATGCGCAGGGCCAGATTACAGGAAGCATAGGGGTCACAGTGAGCAGATGAGTGCTCCCCATCCCAAACCCTGCTGCTCATTTCCAGACAGGCCCGAGAGGACATGAAAGGTCATAGCCCTTCCTTCTGTTGATATTTCAACTCGGTACTTCCTTCTTCACTCCCTCTCTTTGTTTGGAGTATTGTTCCTCTGCTATCTCTGAGAAAGTCATTTGCTCTAAATTAGACTCAGCCAACAATTTGTCAGCACCAATGGTTAACATGGGCAATGCATCAAGGGACAGAACATTCCAGAAGCAGAAAGCCATGCATTATTGAGAGACTACAGAATGGCAGCTGTGTGTAATGTTATATACATAGGTGCTGGCTTTATGGACTTTTTTTTTTTTTTGTCTTTTAGAACTAGGCCTGGTGGTACATACCTCAGCAACTGGGAGTCAGAAACAGGAAGACTACCAGTTCAAGGCCAACAAGCTGGAGGCCAACTGGAGCTGTCTAGTGATTTCAAGGTCTGTCTAGGCTGCACAGGGGATTCACAACCAGCCAAGACTATATAGCAAGACCTTGTGGCAATCAGACAAAAACAACACCAACAAAACTGACCTTTTATTTCTAGACATGTGTACTCATTTGCCACCTCCTAATTTCATAAGCAATGTATAAAGGCATTCTTGTTCTTCTAAAAAAAAAACGAAGTCATCATAGATGAAGTCAAAGTCCCCTTTCACATGCACACTGTACCCCTATTCTCTCCTACAACCCATCTAGGCCGCTTTCTTTGCCAAATCCCAAGACAAAATCTGTTTTGAGTTTTATGCATAGCTTCCCAGATAAAAAGGTAAATTAAAAAAATGGATGCTTGACTTCAGGGCTGTCTAATTCCAAACGGCACAGCTGACAATCACTGCCTCGCTTCATCCTTCTCCCTTTCTCATTCCCCTGTCACTTAGCCGGAGTTGGTTATCACATTTCAGACAGTGCTCAGAATGGGGATGAGCCAAGACGGCTTGTGTTAAAATGCAATCAGCAGCTGCGCTCTCAAGAAAGCCTGGGGCTGGCCAAGGTGTGCAAAAGCCCTCACTAATTAATCCAGACTGGACCAGGTCAAGGGAGCCAGACCTGGAAGTGAGCAAGGAAGCAAATATCACCAAAGGATGCTGTTGAAAGATGATGCAAAACTGAGAGAAAAGACCCAGGCAGAGGGGCGGGACCTGGGCAAGGAAGAGTCTAGTTCTCAGCCCAGGAGAGACTCCCCAAAGCAAAACAAACACATAGACTAGCAGCTGAGCAGACCATGATCAAGGGCCAAAGATAGCGTTCTCTCAGAGGAGCTACTTGTTCTGATCAGGGCTCGCTTCCACAGAAGCCTGCTGTACCATTTGTGACACTGGAACCCAGAAACTCTTGTCCCCTTAAAAGACTCAAAGCTTTTTCTGGGTTTCTGTGTTGGTCCCAATGATTACGGAGGACTCAGCAGGTTGGGGTAAGGGCATGTTTATGTGTGTTTGCCAGAGGGAGTTCTTCCTTTTCTGGAAAACAGAAGCAAGTTTTTTGTTGTTGTTTTTTAAGCTCCCGTGTGTGCTTTTCCTGTTTGCCTATGTACATGCCCTTCTCCCCAGCAGACACAGACCATTAATCCTTGGGGAAGAGAGGCAGCTGCTTTGATAGGGAGAGGATGCATAAAGTCTGTTTTGGAAAGGAAGTGAAGAGGAACTTCTGACCTTCAAAACTGAGCACTGTGTATACAACATAGCAGAGAGCCAGGCATTAGAGGGAAGGAGCCGTTGTCTAACTCTGCAGTTCCCTGTTCACACATTCCAGGCAGCAGAGAAGCCCTGAGAGCTCCAAGTACAGCAACCTGGGCAGAATGGCAGAAGTTAAGGCAGGTCTCCATCTTTCCCACCTGAATGTATAATACCTCAAGTCAGTGAAAAGAGAAATGGATGAGGAGAGAGGAGAGATGGTTAGACATGTGGCTGGCCCTAATTGTCCTTCTCGAACATGTCTATCTGTTCTTTAAAAGGTTAACAGAGGTGCAATAAAACTTCAGAGTGTCTGAGCAAGAGAGGATTGTGAATTAGGAGCCATTAACGACAAAGCTTTCAACAGTGTTTTCTGGGGATGAAAACAAAGGGAAGGCATTCTGTGACTGGCCGTAATGATACCACCGCGACATTTGGTCTGCACTGGGGGAAGTTCCCTAGCTGTGAAGCAGCTTGTTAGCTGCTTTTGATCGGATGCACTTGAGCTGTGTTTTCTTCTGTTAACATTTATGAGGAAAAGCTAAGTTTTACTTGCTTTCAAATCAAGCAAATTCAAGTCAATTCTGAGGCCTCACTGGGTTTGTTCACTGGGAGATTCTTTGGGCCTGGTGTTCATTTTAAATTACGTCTATAGTATCTAACTACATGTATATACATACAATGGTGATGATAGATAGATAGATAGATAGATAGATAGATAGATAGATAGATAGATAGATAGATAGATAATTTGGAATATACAAGTTACAACAATGTGCCACAGGAGGCATCCAATTCAGTTAAGCAGTGGAGGCTTTGGCTGGATCCTTCCCAAGTCTGGCTTGCTCCTCTGAGCTCTCCCACTCTTCGTTGTGTTGAAACCATTAAGTCTCCTGAGACCCACTGCGAGGAAGATTCAGTGACCACACAGCAGACGCTGAGAGGTGGAGAGGTGGAGCGTGACAGGGGTGGAGGGAGGCCATACTAAGACACTGGAGACCACAGCCCCAACCAGGACAGAGAGGAAGCCAAGCTGGTAGAGGAAGACTCTAGGACCTGAATCAGGCAGGGAGGAGAAAGCCAAAGAGTTGTTACAAGCACAGGCAAAAGCATCAAGCACTAGTAACTAGTCTGGGGACAGTACCATCCTGCAAGCCACATACATCACCAGACACCTGTCACATACACCCGAGAAGCAGCCTAGGGCAGAGGCTCCCCTCCCCCACCCCAGGTCTCATAAGCCCCCATCTAACAAGAGACCAGGGAAGGGATTTGCAAGACCAGGAAGCCATCTTTTAGAAACTAAAGCTTATAGAAACTATGAAAAGATGGACTGGGTTTTAAAATTATTTGGACAGGCTCATACGTCTGCCTTTTCCTCAGCTACTCCTAATTTGCTCTGGAGAAAAGGTGGGGTAGTTTTGGACAATGAAGACTCTGGCAAAACATCAGTTGCTACATGATGTTAGTCATGATAATGGGGATGTCTTATTTTTTGGCTTTAGAATAAGAATGTGTCTTATTTCCTTGGGGAGAGCAGGGAAAGGAAGGAGAGAGAGAGAGAGAGAGAGAGAGAGAGAGAGAGAGAGAGAGAGAGAGAGAATATTAGTATCACTTGGGGCAAACACATGCCTCTAATGCTTGGACTTTTCCCCTTATCATAAAAGCAGGGATGATGAACCGGATTTCTGTCTGGTGCCACCTTGCAGATGCACAGGGAGTCATAGCTCTTCATACTCACCCCTCCTAGAAGGTCCCTGTCTCTAGGAGCACCACCACACTCCCTGGGCCTTCTCCTGGCAGGCATTTGACAACTGCCTTTCCGTGTACTGGGTGTTCCAACTCTGCAGGGTAGCTCCGCCAGAAGCCAGGCCTTCCAGTCCAATCTCCCATTGGCATTCTGGGTACAGGAAAGAATAAGCATCCCGTGTCTCCTGACAAGACTCCTTCCTACACAGCTGCTACTGGTGGAGAGAAAAGGAGCTTGAGATGGCTCACAGGAGCCACCGTCTGCCTGCCTGCCTTCTAGGATCTGCTAAGTAGGCAGGCAGCTTCTGCAAGAGCTAACCTGGTAATCACAGGAAGCAAGAGGGGAGAGCTGCCTCCTGAATAGCCTTCCCAGACCCCAGAGTCTCAGCTTCCCCCCTGAGGCAACAGGGTTTTTCTATGTTGCCCTGGTTGTCCTGGAACTCGCACTGTAGAACAGGCTGGCCTTGAACTCAGAGATCCACCTGCATCTGCTTCCAGAGTGCTGGGATTTACACCACCCTGCCTGGCTATATGATGGGGTTTTTTTGTTTGTTTGTTTGGTTGGTTGGTTGGTTTTGGTTTTTTGTTTTGTTTTGTTTTTGTTTTTTGAGATAACAAAAATATAGGGATGGAAAGCAGACTCATGGTTGCCAGGGTTTTGGGGACTGAGGTGAAAGTAGAAAGGAAGTGGCTGTGGTTATTAGAGGACAGTATAAGAGACCCCGGTGGTGACCAGGCGACTGTCCTGCGTCTGCAGCAGGAGATACACAGACCCGCACCTGACAACACACAGAACTTGTTGCACACAGGAGTGCTTGCTCAAAGCTGATGAAATCTGATGGGAAATCATATTTCATCGATGCCAATTTTCTGCTAGTAATGCCGTTGTTACCATTTGAGGGAAACGGAGTGAAGAGTGTTCAGAAGTACGTTTCCATAAGCACAAGGGCCAGATTTCCTAAAAGAAAATGTTGAGCATTTAGCTGAGGAATTTCAACAATAGAAGCTCTGAATGGGGGATCACCTCCAAAGTAAGGACAAGGGTAAATGGCACCCTGACAAAATAACTACAGCTCACTCACAGATGGGGTGTTAGTCTTCTAAACCATAGGGAGCAGCTGCCTCCCATTCAGGAGAGACGCGGACGATAGACCGCTCATTGGAAAGGATAAGATGACTTAAACATCTTATGTTAAGATACATATTTCAGTTGTAAGTGGAAACTAAAACCGTTCCATCATAAATTTTATCTCTACCCTCTCCCTCCTCCAACTCCCCGCCACCCCACCCCCCTCAATTTTTTCTCTTTATCCAGTGCTGGGGATAGAACTTAGGGCCATTTGCACGCTGGGCAAGTTTTCTGTCACTAAGATATATCCTCAAAGATCATAACTTTTTTCCTTAAGCACTCAAACTGGCAATAATCAGAAAGGCTTTGGCATCACCATCCTAGTGGATATTCAGGGGAAGAGGCAGTCTCCTAGACTGACGGATGAAATTCAAGTGGCGTAACTTCATATGGAGAACAGCTAGTCATCTCTCAGAATCACAAACGCGCAGTTCCCATCGACTCAGCAATTCCATTTCTGCGAATGTAGTCTTCATGTGAAGTCATCCATATGCAAAGTGACACACAGATGAGATTATTTATGGAGGCACTTGATGGAGAAGGAAAATAATCAAACGACATGTGCGCAAATCCCTTGGAGAATCATTGGAGAAATAATACCATAAAAAACATAAGAAAGCTTTTTAGAAGTGGATATGAACTTATTTCCATGAACGGGGAGGGAAAAAAAGCCAAGGTTAGTACAATACACATCATCTGCCGCCACTTGGATGATGACGGAGGCATGCATATCCTCATCCCTACATGCACGTGTTTAAAATACAGGAGAAGTGGGCTGCTGAGATGGCTCAGTGGATAAGGGTGCTTGCCTCACAAGCCTAGAGACCTGAGTTTATTCCCTGGAACCCATCCCAAGGTGGAAAAAGCGTGCGCGCATGCACACACACACACACACACACACACACACACACACACACACACATATACTAATTACCTTTTAAAGGAATGTAGAAAAGATGGATACATTTGTTGTGATTTTTGGAGAGAACTTTTGTGATGAAAATCTGGGACTGTAGGGAGATTATTTTTTTCTATGTACACAGTATCCTGATATTTGGATGTTAAGCTCTGCACCTTAATGGTACACTGAAAAAAACAAATAACTAGGCTGAAGGTATAATTCAGTGTCAGGGTGTGCAAGGCTCTGGCTTTGATCCTCAACACTACAAAATTTAAATTAAATTAAAAAGCAAGTTTTCTTTTCTTTCTTTCTTTTTTTCTTGTTTTTAAGAGAGACACTGAAATTTAAGAGAAAACCACAATGTCTCCTCAGGAATGAAAGGAACTTGAGCCTTTCCATGTGACAGGGTATGAAGACCAGTTGATGGTTAGGGACATTGAGTGGGGACAAGCAATGCAGTCACCTAGTATCTGGTGATGACATGCTGATTATACACCTGCCCAAAGAACTATGTCAGTAAGAAAAACCCAAAGGACATGTTTAAGTGGCCCTGACTTATATTTCATTTTTCATGCTGAAGTTACTCCTACAATGACCTGATTTCAGTTAATGCATTTATGAGACATCTCCTGTTATTTTACTTACCAACAGAATGTCCAAGCAGCCTGGGGCAATTTCAAGAAAAATGCTTCCAAACCCTGAGGGCTGCATCGTCCTCCCCGCAAGGCAAGCCCGAGTCCTGATGTAGTTCCTCTGGCTGCATCAGATGATGCTCCAAAGCCACAGCCAAGCCCCTGCTCTGCATCTGAGGCTTGACCATGATGTCTAAGTCATGGCATCACTAAGGTGAGCAAGGGGGATTGCTTACTGCTGCCTACTCCATCCATCCTCTCTTAGATGTCTTTATTGGATCTAAGTCTCTGAAGCCACTTGCCCTCTGAGGGGACTCCTTCCTGAACTGTCATTGGAGAGCCTGCTATGTTTTCTGCTCTGACTGCAAGCGGAATTCCTAAGGGTACACTACATGGAAGGTTACTGCTTCCATTTTCAATGTCAGAAATAAAGCAAGCTGGGTAGACTCCTCTCTGCACCCCCTTCACACGGGTGAAAATCAGTGGTGCCATTTCATCATCCTGTTTTATTCTTTGAGCAGCTATGCAGTTGCTGTGGTATAAGTGGGCAGCTGTGATACTAACAGATGTATTCAAAGAAGAGAGACTAAACTGTGATCTTGGAGGTCCACGGAAAGTAGCCTGTGCATGGGCAGCTGGATCGAATACACAAATCATACTAGAGTTTCAGTTTATTTGCCTAATGTGTTTGAAAATGACTCAATTTATTGCAAACCAAGATTTAGGAACCTCAGCTTCCAGGATGGCAAACTAGTGCTAGTCTCCACATATTTCATCATTTTGCATAATTAATTCCTCCCCGGGGTACACAAACATCTCCATCTACAACCAAACCAGTCTCTCTCTCTCTCTCTCCTCTCTCTCTCTCTCTCTCTCTCTCTCTCTCTCTCTCTCTC